GAAGGAGCTTAGCGTGATGCATATCAGTGATTAATGTCGTCCATTCATTAACTCGTTCAAGAATTGTCTTAAGGTCATACTGATCCACAATGGAAATGTGTTCCCAACTATGCCTTTGTAGTATGCCGCCAATATGAAGGAGACGTAAAAAGTATGCAAGTGATAATCGATGCAGTTAAAAACGATAAGTACAGTTGAAACATCTGTGCTGACTTCAAACTCATTAGACACTAATAGGTATGCAAGAAGGCATCACAACATATTGCGGTTTATTGTACTTATAAAAAAGCAGAGACACACAACGGCACTACACGACTGAAAGGTGGCCAGATAGAAAGGAGTAGGCTGCAGGGAAAGTGAATATAAAGCGTACACCTTGGGGCAACCTGATCATGTTAATCTACCACCACTGTACATAAAAATTGATTTGATAACATCTTTGCCAAATCCCACAAGCGAGATTGTTTTAGGTTCCAGTACGGGAAACAAGTTTCTCCTAAGATCACTGATGCAAAGCTCAAAGAAGAGATAATTACTGAGCCTGATATTCAACGGATAATAGCAGACAGTGCTTTCCAATGCTAGTTGACTTCGTTTAATTTATATTCGTGGCGATCATTAAAGGCAGGGTTTTTGGGGTAGAACAAAGACGGAGAACTACGAGGACATAACATGAATGGTCATTGCGGACTATCGAACTGTTGGTGCTCTAATGTAAATCCAGCTGCTCTTTCTGCATAATCATTTGATGTTTTCCCTGAAAACTTGCGATCTGTTAGCCATGAGCAAGTGAGCATTTTCACCGAGACATTTCAGTCATGAAGCAGCTCTTCAGTGGTAATAATAACTTTTCTATCATGGCTGACATTTCATGGTTTCTGCAGTGTGAAGGCTCTGGAATACAAGCGATGATTTCGGCAAAGTCATAATTAGCCTGTGCCAAGCTGCATTCAGTATTTAATTGGCGTGTGTTTGCCACATATATGTACTCGGTATATATTGTTATTCAGTACTTTTACGTAAAATTTATACCACGTAGCCTTGACTTTACTGAAAATAATCATTTGCTTAGAACAATGTAGCCTAAAGTGGTAGATAACATCGGAATACATTTCTACGATCGGTGGAGTGTATACTATACGGAAGGGATATGGGCATTTATGTTATAGAAAATAAAGTTTCGTTGCACAAATTTATTAAAAAATATTCAGTGAGGAGGAGCTCTCTGTAGATTTCATTCTTTTGTAGAAAAGAATCTTAGAGGTTTACTTGTGTATATGTTAATTTTAGGAAACTGTACATTTAAGTCTTTAGGAAACCCATTAAATTATCACCGGGCTGAAAATGGGCGAAGTTCCATGAAACTTATTCATGCTCCGTTGCACCAATCGCAAAGATTCCGCTGCAGGGCTTGACCTCGGTGTTTCAAAATACAAGTAAAATTCGCGGCCAATCCGCATCGACTGTTTGTCTGCCATGTTGTGCATGGACGACGGAAGCCCTTCACTGGAAGACGTAAAGGAAATTTCTTTCGAATCCAGGGTATCTATGCTGTTGGACGTGGGTGTGCTTGCAAGAGTTTGCACCATCACGACATACTGTTTTCCTGGTTTCAACGATTTCAGCAATATAGAGGTCTCCCCCTGTAAAGGACAAGCTGTTCTATAGTACATTTCCAAACATGCAGCGGGTCAATATTTCAGTTTAAGCTTAGCCCCGGCTATTGAGTTAGAGTACTGAGAATAGCTCCACGGTAGATAAATTGTAGATATTCAACATTCGGCATCGCTTGAATACATATTGCTCATTTGTCCAGTGTATGCAAAGTTGAGTATACATAAAAATTATCCATTATTCATTCTAAGATAATGGGTTTTGCAGGGTTTGTAGAATATATCTGAATGGCGTAACTTGGATACAGGACAAAAGTTGTTTTGACCATAAATGCGTGGAATTAAAACGTAATTTGTAGCCCGCACCTGCTGCATCCCAGTGAAATTGGTGTCATTTCAGAATACTCCAGAAAAAAGTTATAAATACTCAAGCTATTTCAGATGGTAGATTAGGTGCTACGCTATGCTGTGCGTACCCAGACAACAGAGCTTTATGTTAATTATCAATTGTTGCTCTCTGCGACGTGCACTTGGCTGGTTGAAGGGTATACATGCTCCCTTACAAAGTTGTGCATATGCATTAGCCAGTTGCAATCCGCCAACATTCCATGCATGGATTGCATCATTTAAAGCCTTATAGCCCATGATTGGTGATTTACACGTAAAGTTGTCGGAATCCAAACCTAGAACACTGCATATTTTTCAGCATTCTTTACTATTCATGCCCATGATTGTAGATAAATTCGCAAGAGAATCTTTGCTTGCATTCGAGGTGGTTGTTAGTTGCTTGCAATAGAAGCAAGGTGGTTTTACCATATGTCACCACCTGCACGTTGTTCTTTCCTAGGGTTCATAGGTTAAGAAGCATTGTAAAGGATGAAGTTTTTGACATATACATTATTTTGCATTTACGCAGCAGGTAATGGTTAATCCTAAATACCAATTGTTTAACACGGACATTGCACTTATCTGTTAGCATATAATTTTAACGGAGAAAAGTATTACAATGTAAACTTCTTTATTATGGACGCCACTTCCTGAATTTCGTAACTCTTGCAAGTACCCTTGTTAATAGCATAACAGTATCTATGGGCGCGTCGATCAGCCAATGTTGTCTTCATAACTGTGCATCCAAGAGAACTTAGCTCCCGATTATTTGTCGTTAAACTGCGGATATTGCACTAATATTGGACAGCGTAACCCAAGTAGACAATGTTAATCCAACTTTTGACAAAATCGACTAAATATTTTTGAAAATATGGCACTGAAGTTGGAATGCAACATTTAATATCAAACACTGAAACCGATTGTTTTTCTCAACAGACAGAAATGGCATTTCCTTGGAATCTAAGCTATATTCATCAGTTTGTAATTTTTACTGCAGATAATTAGGAGATTTTTAATGCAATGCAAACCTTTGACTATAAATATAAGCACTGGTATGCAATAGTAATTTAGTTTAGATTAAAATGATGGAATATATACTGAGGTTGATGAATGCATTATGCCTGCAAGAAGTCTGCAAAAACACATGAAGTAAAATGCCTTAAGACACTTACACATATATTTGGAATGTTCCTGAATATTGGCTACCGGGTTAGAATGCTTGCAATGTTGACACATGTAGTCAAATATGTGTCCATTTGTGAAGGAAAATCGTCAACTTATTTTGACGTTAGAAAATTTGGATTTAAACTGTAAATCGCAACTTCCGCTACAATACGGCATCCTTTTCTCCAATGTGGTAAGTTTTCAAATACCACTTGTTCAATGGTACATAAACGTATGCGCACAGTATAGGTTTACCGCTGACCAGGTTTGAATAGATTACTGATAAACAAGTGTATTTTCCTGCAGTCGGCTGCACAAAATTTTACATAGTGTAGAATCTAAACAAGGAAATGCCCGAACATTTGAAAGCACATTTTACTGCCTTCCGGATATCTTTTAAGATATTTTTTTAAACATACAACTTAGCAAAATCAAGAAAACCCCATGCGTCGAATGTTGGTAATTGACTGAACCTAGGATTAGTTAATAGAACCGGCACTATTACCAAACGTCCATTCGTCGGATTCCTGGTGGTAGCCACTAATTGTATCTACTATTGAACAAGTTAAGCTAAATCCTAAATTTCCAGTGTGTGTCAAAGGTAGTTCATTATTTGTATGTCGCATGTTTAGATAAATAAATAACATTGTGTATAACGAAACGCTTGTCTTTTTGAGACTAGCACCATATTGGATGACGTTATACTGGGCACTAGTTGCCTCGGTGGCAGTTGAAAATTCGTTATGCTTTGCTTCTTAGAAATGATCTGTAATCACTATAAAGCTCAAAAGAATTAAGATGCGCCATTAAGGTACACCGCATGATCAAATTATGGATCTGCGAAGGTTTTCCTTTATATAATCTGGTGGCAATTAAATCGTTCATTCAGCTTGTACCTGCGTTCCGTTAACGAAAGAAATCTCAAGCCGCTTAACCATTTGAGGATTCGAATATTTAACCCGACAATATAGACCTAAAAACAATCAAGCATTTCATTATTTCTGACCCGAATCACCTTCGTAGAAAATTATCTTAGACTAGATATAACCGAAATTGGAGCAATTCATCACATTGTTACATATGATACATGAGCATTTCTGAACATGGTAAACAGAAACCATCAGCTTTGTTTTTCTTTTCAGGTTATGGCAAAGCCGCGTATAAGAAATAATGCACCTAATCCTGTTTCAACCTTTTGCCAAAGAGCATTGAAACTTACATTCCGCAACACTTTAGTCTCAGTAAAAATAGGATTGATGCGAGGACGAAGTCCCGGTGACTTCTTCCACAAAGTAGAGTTGATTGCTTGGTCTTGATTGGGACCCCAAACGACTCTGAAACAGTGATACGTAGTCATAAGTCACCTGACTGAAAAGAGAAACAAACAAAAAGGGGCATAATTTCGCCGACTTCCCTTTCGCCTTCCACTTACACATAACTATTAGTAAAAGGAAAGTTATGGAAAGAAAGTTTGCGGCAAATGGATAGCATTGAACTAATATTGAAAATGGAACAACCCGAACTGAATATTAAAACTAACGCAGTCTGAACCCTTTATAGCCTTTGCATCATATTATCTAACGTAGCCCCTGATTACGCTTAAATTCACTTTGAATAACTTGTCTCTGGTTCACAGCTACGTATGCATTCTCTATCATTGGGCGCAGGTTAGATGCAAAATTTATGTTTTATGTAGTCAAACTGAACGTTATGTTGTACTGTGTTCAGATACGGAACAAGCTTAAGCCCCGTGATCTAGTTGTTTGGGTTTTAGTGAAAATACTAATATTTGGTTTTTAAGAGAGCGTCAGTAACACGGCAATCAACAGCTTACAGCAAAACTACAAACTTGACTTAACCGCTCTAAACGCAATTTATGCGACAGTCCGCTGATTAATTGCTTAGGCGTAAAATTTACGGAAAGGTTAGCAGCGAAATGTAAGTAATGTAATGAAATGCATTGTAATGTAATAATGTAAAATTAATGTAATGTAAGTGTATCTTTTTTTGCTGTTATCTCGTTCACAGACGCGTGGAAAGTTCAAGATTAAAAACCACTTGCGACTACTGATGTTGGCATGCATTCGCCTTATGTAGTAGCCGCTTGACGTAAACAGTGGAACGCAGTCAAAGAGCACTTAATCGCGACAAATAGTTAACCTTACATCCCGATGTAAAATCGCGATATATGCGAATACTATTTGATAATAAAATTGTGCTCCATGTTATCGGTTTGGTAACAACGAAGACGTGATCTTTACTTCGGAAACTGATATTATTTGCTAAAATCGGATGTAATGGGATAAAAAGTGAAGAAATAGTGTACACAAATGCCGTTACAACATGCATAAACGCGGTCCACGTCAAATAGATAAGTGTTGAATTGATGGATTGTCCTTTAACTCTTGCGATTGTCCCGGCGTGTCTCACAATTTTGATGCGTCTAATTTCACGCAGTTTTATAACATAAATTTGGTGAATATTATTTTGCTTTTCTTAGTCAAATCGGAACTGCAAGAAACAATCAGTAGACCCATAGTTAGAAGATTAGTATCCACACACAGTGTTTCTTTTAGATACTGCAATTTCACCGGCGCGTTTGCAGAAATCCACACAAACTTATGCCTTTCCTTTGGTATGCGTACCATGAATTAGGTATTATTGCTTCAGAGTGCTATTGACAATTATTAACAAAACCTACAAAATCAAACATTTGGTAAAATTGTTGCAGCATAATTAGCATCTGGCATCCTAGCATTCGTCAAACTAGCATGAAATCAGCTACGACTACAAAGCCGATTACTCCCACATAGTCTTAAATTCACCGTCCAATGCTTCCAAACTAGTAGTATCTAGTTAACCACGGTCACATTTTCTTAGTACCTGACCTGAGTAGCATGGTTCCCAGGGTCGGTTATTAGTCAGACAGTGTATGTACGGCTCACAGGATAAACAAATGTTATACATTAGCATGACGCAAAACATTGCTCCATGAAAATATGTCTTAAAGGCCCACTAGGTCGGGAGTTAATGTTACATGCGGCTCGTTATCCCGACCTAGTTTTAAACTAAATGACATAAAACATTAAAACATCGGTAGGCAAATCAAAGTAAAATTATCACCAGACTTGATGAAAGTAAGGAACAACATACATTTTAATTCATTTTGCTGCCAATCGTAATCTTCACTGACATATTGGTGCAAATATGCGAAAGAGAGATATATATTGGACATAAATGTGCTTATTACAACTGCTCCATCCGAAGCAGTTGCTGCAGCATATTTGCGACTCCATACACCAAATAATGCTGTCTTTTTGAAAGCACTGGCTAAGCTACGCATGTAACTTTTAGTGTAGGTTTGTAGAACTTAACATCAAAATTAGGAAAATGGAGGATCAACTAGAGCTTCTGAACCTAATGGATCTCCTTTTGGCCAGAGAACATTTAACTCAGTGATTCCTGCAGAAACTTCAGCTAAATTCCATCTTAGCTGATCCATCATCACAGAAAGGTTGATTATCTACCCACATTAGATTTGTGACACTCCTCAGCTCAATACCGATTTTGCAGCTTGACCAAAACCCCGACATTTTGACACAAAAATCCACTCGGATTCTGAACTTTGCACCTAGATTTCCAATGTGTTTACAGCACTTACACTAAAGTACGAATAAAACAGTGCCATTGCAAGACTTTAACCTGTTTGGATACCTTCAAGAATCATCGGCATTCGAAACGTCGCAACGTTTGATGCATTCGCTTCGCTTTGTGCATATGTGAATTTGAGCGTTGTGGCGTATGCTTCGTTAGAAATCTTCGGACGTCTAGACCCCTTCATTTTAGCACCACTGTGTCACGGATTCATTACGACATTCCGAACATCAAATTTGATTTCCATACGACACTTTAGAGTGCCGTGTTCCCTTGTCAGCTTTGGCTTAAAATTTTAGTGTTTAAAGAAATAGATCGTAGCGCGAATGAAATCGTTTTGGTGTAACAGGCAAAACAACGAAATTCCATATCTAGCCAATTAGTCTTGCTCATAATGATTCAATCCGTAACGTGCCATATTTTCTAACAAAAAGAGCTTTGCACGCATTAACGGATATCAGCTTGCAGTTTTTGTATCAAACTACAACCCCATTACCTGTATTTTCTCGGTGAATCCAATTGGATAGCTGTTTCCTCCTTGGAAGTATTTCGGGAAAAATGCAGACTGTTTTGGCCAGATTCACCACTCATTTCAGTATCCAGGTATCCGGGGTCCCAACTGATTTTATAAAGAAGCGGCTGAATGTGAATCATCTGATAACGAACATTCCGTATTTCCGACACTTGCGCTTTAGTAGTTGAAAAGAAAGAGGATAATTATGGGTAACTCATTACACTTTAAGTTGGGCCTGACAGAGTCTACCTCAATATACTTATGGATAGCTTTTATTAATTACGCAATATTTTTATTTTCAAAAGTAAAATTTTCATGATTGTGAGCACATAAATGTGAAGAAATATGTTTTGCCGACATGACCCATCTGTAACCATGAGCCTTTTTAGAGTTACTGTGAGTTGTTCAGTTTGTTGGTGTTCATGGTAATACGTTTCACATAACTAGTGTGATTTTAGTTACCAAGTTGCAACCCTTTTTTATCTACAATCTAACCATACTTCGGAAAGTCAGATGCGAATCTCAAATCAAATTGTTAAATGGTTTCACAAAACACCTAGCTGTATTCAACAAATGAAGATTAACAGTTAGTGCGGATGATCAAATTATTCTCTAGATATATGGAAGTGCATTGTAGTCAAAGATAGTTATAGGAATACTAGAAAATCAAGTCTGACTCGATAAGGTTTGCCATGGGTACTACGGAAACAGAAATTGTATCCAACAGATTCCTACTTTCCAAGTAACAGATGAGAAGTTGTCGCGCGTTATCTCCTTGCTCCACACTACCTAACATTACCAATCAGGGTTCTCATAAACGTAGACTTGTGATTTGTAATACAACGAATACACTTGGTTACTCTTTTACTTTGACTCTTCGAGAATACAGGTGAAATGTTTGTGTATGGAATTTTCACTGAATTACTCAGCATAAATTGCAGCTATACATTTGGTACTCCAGGGTCTTACATGTGTACCCTATTCCATCATCGTTATTTTTGTACCATAGCCTATAGAATTCTACATATCAGTTCTTTTCCTACTCTACCACAGTATCCTGAGCTACTCGTCAGTCAGCAGTATTTTCATCGCTCTTGCGAAACCTAGTGAACTGCTGCAATATTCGCTTCCATTCGAAAATCAGCTAAGATGATGTAATATAAAGATATTGATGTTATTTGCAGATATTTCTGCTTGTATTGAACGTATTAGTTTAGGAATCTGAGTGTCTAGGTTGTGATTTATAATTCACTCTGTAAAGCGCTGGTGTGCAATTTGTATTTATGGAAAACAAACTTTCATATTCCTTTCCACACTGTTTAGTTGAATGCAATGGTTCAGTACAGGTTGAAGATTTGACATTGAGTTTTAACTAGGTATCAGGTTAATTGCAACTAGCCAAAATTCATATTAGTCTGCAGAATGCACAACAATGCACTTGAAGCCGGCGACACAAAATTCCTGAGACGACAAGCACAAGAAACTGAATTTTAGGTTGTCTTTACCTGGTGCGACTTTAGTGAGACAAATGATTTTCAAAATTATGCAATGGGATGCCATTTGCTGGGAATTATAACCGGTTATACAAATTGCATGCGTTATTCAAGGACAGTAAGAAATCTTTTACGAAATTTTGCAAGCATTCTTTGAAGGTTTAAGTCGGCGGACGAGACAAAGGCTACCCTAAAACAGGTCTTTTGATCCGACTATGCTGTTTGTGAGAAGTTCGGCATCCAACTGTACTACTCGATCTGGGTAGCAAAAGAAAAATATGGAAAGTCTATTTCCACGGTGAAAATACGTATCACACTAGGTGGTTGAACCATCAAAGAAATTGGTAGTGAATCCTAATAATTTGTAGAATAAAGCAACTAAGATCCGACGTGAGGTGAAATACGGAAAGCGATATGGGTTCATCGAGAACCAGAAATCGCACGCATGCATTTTTGATTACTTCTTATGCAAAAAGTTATTTATGCTGTTACCGTGAGTGTTTACACATGTTAAATTGACACCTAAGATATACGTGAAGACTGATACAGTTCCTTTCACTAATGTGTGGGGAAGTGCAAGCGAAATGTGATGAGGCAACTAAGAATTCAAGGAAGTACCTGAGTGATGAAAGACTGGCGTAAAACTATGAGCAACAATACTTTTTTAATAAGAGAGGGACAGGTTGGAATCAAACACATACACCGTCGTGAATGCCAATTTTCATATGCTTGCAATATGCATAGGCTCACACTTATCCCCGAGTAACCGGTGTTGTTTGATAACTCATCGAGAGAAAGTATTCTGCAAGATTTTGAAGGATTTATTTGATGCCAAAGGGGAAGAGACAGATGCACCTCATCACTGAAATAGGCTTCGCAATTTCAGGATGCAACACATCTCTTTTCATCAAAGTCACTGGCAGATTCATATGCATATTTCTCTCAAATTTCACCGTACCTTCATTTGTCTATATTTGCAGGTACGAATGCTAATCCTAATAAGAACCAGATACTGCAAAATCGTTATTGTAAAATTTTATAAAATTATTATGCAAATTATCAGGCTCTTTTGATCAGATAAATTTGTATCAGGTACGTCCTCTTATCAGCAATTTCTTAGACCATACTTACGCAAATATAAACCTTATACTTGCGTCATTATTAATGGATGAAGACTGGTTTTATTTCTACTCTCTTCAATCAATCCAGCCCTACGGTTAAAAATGCCAAATTTTCGAGCACTTTGTAACTTTAAACTTATGGTTTATTTGTCGCAGAAAACTAACAAGTCTACTAGCTTCTATAAGGCCGGGACATCCGATCGGCAAAGATAAACGATAACCGGCTGTTATTTCTTTCTGAATGTTTCAGCCAAATGTTCTATCTGACACAGTGTCATGTATTGGGCACATTTGAGAGAAACTGACCGGTATAAGAGGGCGGATATTTCTTCGTGGTCGGCATCATATCATCCATTCCTCTTATGTCTTCCCAGGGATGTGAATGATTCCTTATTGCCTGTTTGCTGGCTGGTTTATCCTTGTGCCTTGAATAGGAACTTTGCTGGGTACGGAAGTACAGCGTGGCCGGCAACGACTGGAGAAGTCTTGAGCCCCAGGCACTGCTGGCTGTAATCTAGAATCAATACAGCACAAAACATACAAGGCATCTTACTAGAAAAGCTCATTTGCCTATTCATGTCAGTAGATATTTTTCTAACTAATAACTCATGTCATGTAGAAATTAGCAGATACGTTCACGAGAATAAATAAGACAAACTGTTTGCCACCGAGTGTATTTCGTTTATCCTGAGTGCCTAGATCAAATCACGGTTGCAAGTCACTCCTTTGACAGCAAAAATATTGCGCACCGAAAGTCGACATTTGCTCTTTGGTGGAACCGCTGCGATGTGTAACCTCCTGAAACCTTATCTACTCTTAAAGAATAGGACGAGATGAACGTTAATATTTAACATCTTTGTTTCTGATAACCAAAGCATATATGTGTTAAAGCATTTAATTGCTGTCAACAATTTGTGAAAGACACTACGCAGGCGAGAAGCATCCGCAAGCATTTCGTATCATTTCCTCCGTGACTATAACGGGAGCTAGAATTTTAGACGATTGTCGAAGGATGGATAACAGTATGCAAGTAGTCGAAATGGAAACCTGATATCCTGCTCGAATGGTCAGGAAAACTTGATGCTGAGTGATCATTGCCGCTGAACATAAAATCCTCTTGTGATCCCGTAGGGCAAAATATCCTTGGTGAAACGCCGTTGACAGGAATCGTTACTAAGCAGCAGTACTTTGAATGGTGTTGAACTCAATCTAATGACCACAGGTGACAAATAGCTTACTGATAGATGCCGGTGGCCTTTGTTCAGAAGTAATCAGCTTCTCACGTCTTCTGCGCATTGTCGCATTTGACACATCTCATCACCTCTTTCTTCGTTGTGGAACTCGGAATTCTGTAAGTTGCTCGGTCGTTACATACGTATTAGTGACAAAATGAAAGGCGGGGTCGATAGGTCTAGATGCCTCATTGGGCAGGCATCCGTTTTTGATTCAGTTGCTGGTGGTACTTTCGACTGAACAGCAAATTTCCTGTTCGGTAGAGTTTAGACTCTTTTTGGCCCGCAGTGTAACATGACTACCGCTTAATGACAATCTTGACAATATATTGTTTTTACTCACATTGACATTTAATTTACAAAACAGCTGATTTGGCAGTGTTCATCACTGAATCACTGAAGGTGCTCTGTTGCAAATCGTACACTAGTGAGCTGGTGAGATGAAATAACATCAAAACGTATCCTACGAGTGCAGTGTTTTTGAGCGGCTTTCTTGATCCAAATACCAAGGTTCATTTCAATAAGAATTACAGCCAACATTAAGATTACCTATCTAGCCTTAGGAGCTACTCAGCAATAGTAGTCTGAACACTTTACGCCCTGATGTCAGGATGAGGAAGGAGGTTCCCGCTACTTATTGTCACGGTTACCTTCTGATTAGAAGGATAGCAATTTATGAGCATATATCTGCCAAGCAGTAGCTTACACGTTCTTTTATCAATGACGGTGTTGTTGCCAACCTCTGAAAGTTAACTGCAATGATTTTAGTTCAATCCGGCTTATTGTAGGTGCAAGGCTATACATT